AGATGCCAGGGCGGGAGACAGACCAGTGCCACAGCCCCACCCTCAGCTGCAGAGGCCACGCCCCCTGCCACTTGAACTAGCCTAGAGGGTGGGCGGACTCCCTCTGTCTGATCCAGGCTTTTCTCCCTTTCCAGCCGTTCTTGTCCCCCTGTGTCCTGGGCCCCAGGTGGTGAGGTTCTTGTTGCCCAGGGGTCCCCACGCCTTTGCCCTCTTCCAGCAGCTTCTGGGCAAGTTGGACATGTGCCTTGCCCCCACCAGCCGTGTGAAGCCCAGATTGCATCTATTTTCATCTGTGTAACAAGCTTGGATCAGGGACCTCATTGGTTTCCCAGTGGTGGGTAATTTCTCGTTCCAAATATTAATCCGTTGTTTTCCTGGCTCCCGGCCTGGCCCCGCTGCTGCCGTACTGTACTCCAAGTAGGTTCCTATGCAACCAAAAGCCCCAGCAAATACTTTATGAGCTTTGCAGATTCAGCCGAGCAGCTATGCAAATGCGCTTTTCATTAGGAGCGTGGGGCCCGACGTGAAGATAAGGAATTGTTTCTCCCAGAGAAGATCCATCATTTCAGTAGCTTCCAAGCCCCCAGCCTCTAGGCTCACCTCACCCTCCCGGATGTGGCAAGCCCCTCCACCTCTGGGCCTCCAGACTCCCAGGAGAGCTGCCGGGGAATCAGGGGCAGAGGGAGGGGGGGTTGATCAACTTTTAGTAACCAAAACCAGTACCTTGGCTTTAAAGGGAGCCCAGCCTTCCATCCCTTCCCGAGGCGTGTGTAACAGGTCAGATATGTTTGGGAAATCACACAAGCACCACACTCATTTGCTCCCAGGATCTCAGTTGATATTTATAATAAAAGGAGACAGTGAGACGGTGGCGGTGCTGACTGGCGAAGGAGCGGGGCTGGTCCTCTCAGCCAGGACGGGGCTCTGTCACCAGCCCCCACGCAGTACCTGCATCCCCGGCCCTCAGGCATTTGTGTGGGCCCACCCAGAACCCAGACCCCAGACCCCAGAGGGCAGAAGGAAGCTGCAGCGTGGAGGGGCCCGCTGGGGAGAAGGGACTCGAGGGGTGAACGGCCCTGGGAAACACAGGAGTTCAGGAGGAAGATGGGGTGTGGTGTGGTCTTCCGCTGGCCGCTGCAGTCCTGGGGTCAGCACGGGGAGCCCAGGGACTCCTGGCTCCGTGACTTTCGAGTGAGATCCCGCAAAGCAGGGCCTGTCATGGGATCCGTGGGCTCTGCCTGACTCGAGGTAACACAGTGACGTGGCCTGGTGAGGCCTCCCAGCCAGCCGCCCCAGGGCCCGGAGCATGGCTGATTCGGGTGGAGGAGTCGGGGCCTCAGACCACAACTCCAACAGGCGTGGGGCCCTGCCTTCGGAGGCCCCCACTCCCACCACATCCCTGCCTCATCTGGGGGCTCGCGGAGCTGGCCAGGAGGGTGGAGTTCTCCCCTGGACCCCTCCTGGACTGCTACCACCACTTGACTCATCCCGGGGTGCGGGGGTCCCACCCAGGCCCAGTGGAGAAGGAGGGATCCGTGAGGGTCCCTGGTCATGCAGGGTCTCTGTCCTCTGGTTAAGCCCGAGAAGGGAGAGGAACTGAGGGAGCTGAACCCAGCCGCTGCCCTGAGTCAGCCCCGTACCCCCGTCTGGCACGCGGGCCCCAGTCACTGCAGTGCTGCCAGGCCGACAGGACAGGCAGGCAGCGTCCTACGCCAAAGGGCCAGGAGGGCCCATCCAGATGCCCTCTAGATGCCAGGGCGGGAGACAGACCAGTGCCACAGCCCCACCCTCAGCTGCAGAGGCCACGCCCCCTGCCACTTGAACTAGCCTAGAGGGTGGGCGGACTCCCTCTGTCTGATCCAGGCTTTTCTCCCTTTCCAGCCGTTCTTGTCCCCCTGTGTCCTGGGCCCCAGGTGGTGAGGTTCTTGTTGCCCAGGGGTCCCCACGCCTTTGCCCTCTTCCAGCAGCTTCTGGGCAAGTTGGACATGTGCCTTGCCCCCACCAGCCGTGTGAAGCCCAGATTGCATCTATTTTCATCTGTGTAACAAGCTTGGATCAGGGACCTCATTGGTTTCCCAGTGGTGGGTAATTTCTCGTTCCAAATATTAATCCGTTGTTTTCCTGGCTCCCGGCCTGGCCCCGCTGCTGCCGTACTGTACTCCAAGTAGGTTCCTATGCAACCAAAAGCCCCAGCAAATACTTTATGAGCTTTGCAGATTCAGCCGAGCAGCTATGCAAATGCGCTTTTCATTAGGAGCGTGGGGCCCGACGTGAAGATAAGGAATTGTTTCTCCCAGAGAAGATCCATCATTTCAGTAGCTTCCAAGCCCCCAGCCTCTAGGCTCACCTCACCCTCCCGGATGTGGCAAGCCCCTCCACCTCTGGGCCTCCAGACTCCCAGGAGAGCTGCCGGGGAATCAGGGGCAGAGGGAGGGGGGGTTGATCAACTTTTAGTAACCAAAACCAGTACCTTGGCTTTAAAGGGAGCCCAGCCTTCCATCCCTTCCCGAGGCGTGTGTAACAGGTCAGATATGTTTGGGAAATCACACAAGCACCACACTCATTTGCTCCCAGGATCTCAGTTGATATTTATAATAATTGTACCATGCAAGTTAGGAGGGGAGGGGGGAAAAAGCTGTTATAAGCATTAACTCTAAAATAAATTTCTATTTTTTTCTCTTGCAAGATCAATAAAAGATGTTATTAAGAATATGGTCTGATGACCTAGATTTGGGGTCGGACAAGAGGGAGACTGCTGCCTCCAAGAACGGACTGAGTCCACTGGAGGCCGGCCGCTCCCTCTTCCCACCTGCAAATGGGGTCGTGATCCTGGCCAGATAATAGGTTTACATACGGTTTACAGTGGCTATTATTCCCAGGTGGCGCTAGTGGTAAAGAACGTGCCTGCCAAAGCCAGGAGACGTAAGGAACTCAGGTTCGATCCCTGGGTCAGGAAGATCCCCTGGAGGAGGGCATGGCAACCCGCTCCAGTATTCTTGCCTGGAGAATCCCATGGACTGAGGAGCCTGGTGGGCTACAGCCCATAGGGTCTGAGTTGGACACAACTGAAGCGACTTAGCAGATAATGTCTAGAACTGACTCATCTCACCCGCATTCAACCTTGGAGGGTGGGTATGATTATGATCCTCCTTTTACAGATACAGGAACTAAGACACAGAGAGGTTAAGTAACTTACCCAAGACACTCAGCTTGGTGAGCTCTTAGTCAATATACAAATCCTGAGATAACCACGGGAGAGCTGGGGTGAAATTTCCTGGACCCTGGGGTTTCCCTTCAGTCTGAGTGGATCCCGAAAGTACAGCCCTCAAATGCTTGATTGCTGGCTCCTCCTGCAGCTCCCCACCCCCGCTTCCTTTAGGGGTGAGTATCAGCATCTGGATAAGGCAGCCCCCGAGGGGGAGGAAGGTTCAGCTGAGGGGACTAGGGGTCTAGACTGCAGCTCAGTTGCCAGCAGTTGTATTGGGGGCTGGGTAAGGGGGCCCTCTGGAGACCCGCCCTCCGTCTGTTAAACCAGCCAGAGGGGAAAGGGCTTCTGTCCCACCGGCACGTAGGGATAATGGCTGGGCCTCTGCTGGGCCCACCCCACCCCCGGCTCCCCTCTGAGTTCCTGTGGAACCAGAGGGGCCCTGACCTGCCAGGCACCCTGGTACTACCGGGGCTTATGTCTCTGGACCAGCCCTGGAGACTGTGAACGCGCGCCAGCCCTCCCTGCATTCCAGCCATGGGCTGGGAGGCCGGCCGAGCATCCCAGCTTCTAAGCCTTTCTAACCACCAGCCAGAGCTCTGAGCCTGAGTCCCTGTTGTTCAAGGGCCAGGCCAGCAACACCAGGGAGCAAAGCTGGCCTTGCAGAACCTGGTCAAGAGAGCAGCCCAGGCAGCTTCTGCAGCTCAGATCCCGGGGTCCCGCCACGCCAGATCTTCAGAGGGTTTAAAAGAAGCCAGGAATCCAGGTGGTGTATTTATTTTTAATGTGAAATCTAACTTTTAAATGTTGGCTCTAAGTTAACAAACATCTAGTGAGCCAACTAAATCCAGTTACAGGTCCTATGTAGCTGACCCCCCACCACAGCTCCCACCCCAGCTCAGCATGAACACTGGCCCCCACTTCCTTCCTGGCCCCCCGGAGCCTGCAGTCCCTGACCTGAAAGTGAAAGTATTAGTCACTCAGTCGGGTCCCACTCTTTTCGACCCCATGGACTGTATAGCCCGCCAGGCTCCTCTGTCCATGGGATTCGCCAGGCAAGAAGATTGGAGTGGGTCGTCCTTCCCTTCTCCAAGGGATCTTCCCAACCCAGGGTTTGAACCTGGGTCTCCTGCATTGCAGGCAGATTCTTTACCTCTGAGCCACCACAGAAGCCTGAAGCCCCTGATGCAAGGCTCCACGAGTGCCCGGGGCTGGTTCCCCCCAGTCCTTGCCCTTCCGGGGAGGTAAGGAGAGGGAGGGGACTATTCCTGGCCCCGCCCCTCTTGCCCAGGGGGATCCGTAGAGTGACCTTAGTGGACTGAAGCTGCAGTTCCCACCCCCAGTCCTCCTGGAGAGCAGAGGCCTTCCTCTCCCGCCGTATCCCGCTACCCTTCCCATTCCCTGGGTCCCACCCCCACCCTGTAAGCTACAGGGCTGTAAATCAGCCCGGAGCTGCAGCTGTCAGGGGCTCAGGGGCCTGGTTGGCACCCAGGCATGGCTGCAGGGAATGAATCTTGGCCACAGCTGACAACAGGGGTAAGGAAGGGCAGGCAGTCTCCCAGGGGAGCCTCCACTCGGGCCTCTGTCCCCTGGGGACCCGCCTTCTCTGACCCGCAGCGGGAAGGACCCGATTCTGTCTGTTCCTTTGGCTCCAGCACTGGCACCACAACCTCAGAGGGTCCCCCAGATCCTGCCAAGGCCATTTTATAGCCAGACCAGTGGCTGCTGCCCCCACACTCGGGCACATTTACTGAGATGTCCTGAGTCCCTCCCCAGACCTCACCTCCCACCCCGCCTAGAACAGCATGGTCCCTTCCTGAGGCTCCAGCACCTCCCCTTCCCCACCGCCACCATCACTCAGCCTCACCCTCAGCCTCCTCGGGATTGACTGACTGCACTGGTCTGCCAATTCCTTGCTTCTCTGGAAAAACTGGAAGCCGTGGCAGCTCTGGTCCGTGTTACCAGATGGTCCCAAAAGCCAGAGCTGGCCCCGAGCCCGGGCAGCGGCTCCCCAGTCACCACACTCGCCACCCGCCCCTGTCGTCTCGCGCTCGGCCTGCTGCCCTCCCCCATCACTTCGCGCTTCACAGCCCTACAGGCATCTGAGTTGGCACCCCGAGACAGAGGCTGGTCATTTACGTGGAGGAGCAGGATTGGTCTGGGTGACCCTGCTTCCCGGCCCAGCAGGGATGGGGCCCCACCCTCCTGCACACACAGAGGGCTCCCGTGGGGCCCAAGGACTCGAGCTTCTGGTGTCCAGACAGGGAACGGGCCCAGGACAGGTGACGGGGGGAGGCAGCGGGCCTCCGCCAACAGGCTGTGTGTCCCTGGGTACTTGGGGCTGGCAGTCAGGCATGTCTCTGGACCTCTACGTGGCAGTCACAGCAAGCCTACCACTTCCAGGCTCCCAGCCTCTGGGAAACTGTTCCACTCACACACACTCCTGACAAGGGGGCAGGCTTTAGCAGTCATCTTCTGTGATAATAACAGAAGTCAATACAGGGACTTCCCTGGTGGCCCAGTGGCTAAGACTGCACTCCCAATGCAGGGGGCCTGGGTTCGATCCCTGGTCAGGAACTAGATCCCACATGCCACAACTAAGAGCCCACACTTTGCAACTAAAGATCCAGAATGAAGTGACTAAAACCCAGTGAAGTGAAATAAATGTCAGTCAGTAATACTGAGCTCTCACCTGACCTGGTTTCTCTATGGGTTCGTCACTGAAGCTGCATGTCATGGTTAGGCACAGACTTCATGCTACAGGTACCCGTTTCCCAGCGAGTTGGTGATGGAGAGCGACCTGGGGCCGCCTGGCCGGGGCTCCAGTCCAGACCCCACCACCTCCTAGCTGCGTGAGCAGCCTTAGGCCCGTGCCTCCTCGGCTTCCTCACCCAGGCCTCAGGGTGCCCGCCACGCTTGCTCCTCAGAGTCACTCTGGGCATCCTTGGTGCATCTCCTGGGAGGCAGGGCACACTGGTTGAGTTCCACAATGGCCCTCCTCTTCTTGTTCAGTCGCCCAGTCGTGTCTCTTTGTGACCCCATGGATGGCAGCATGCCAGGCCTCCCTATTCCTCACCATCTCCCAGAGTTTGCCCAAGTTCTTGTTCATTGCATTGGTGATGCTGTCTAGCCATCTCATTCTCTGATGCCTTCTTCTTCTGCCCTCAATCTTTCCCAGCATCAGGGACTTTTCCAATGAGCCATCTGTTTGCATCAAGATAACCAAAATACTGGAGCTTCAGCTTCAGCATCAGTCCTTCCAGTGAATATTCAGGGTTGATCTCCCTTGAGATTGACTGGCTTGATCTCTTTGCTGTCCAAGGGACTCTCAAGAGTTTTCTCAGCACCACAGTGTGAAGGCATCAATTCTTTGGCTCCCTGCCTTCTTTACAGTCCAGCTCTCACAACCATACGTGACCACTGGAAAGACCATAGCCTTGACTGTACAGACTTTTGTCGGCAGAATGATGTCTCTGCTTTTCAATATGGGAGGAGGAAATGGCAAACTACCCCAGTGTACTTGCCCTGAGAAAAGGCCTTCATCTTACAGGTGTGCAAACAGGTTTCACAGCAAGGGTGGCCTAGGGGCTGAGATGGGAGGCTGCTCAAAAGGGCAGCTTGGCCCTCCTGATTTTCCTGGATACCCCCCAGCCTGGGCTGGCTGGTCCATGAAGGGTGCCAGCCTTAGAGAGCGAGTGCTGGCTCCCCACCCCCGCCAGCTCTTGCCCTGTGGAGCCCCTCCTTCGCCTCCTCTCTNCCCCCGCCAGCTCTTGCCCTGTGGAGCCCCTCCTTCGCCTCCTCTCTCTAATCCACCCTGCCTGCACCCCTCCACCCGACATCCACCCACCCACCCTGGAAGTTCCAGGGGAGGGAGTGTCAGGAGCGTTCGTAGAAGGGGGCTTGGTGCTCTGACTCACCGTCTTGGCCTCCTGGCATGGAACTCGTCCCAGGCAGAGGCTCCTTCCTGCTCCCCTAGAGTCCCAGACCCCCTCCCTCCCCCACGTCCTGGCCAGTCCTGGCCGCTGCCCGCTGCCCACCCCTCTGCCAGGCCTCTGGCCATTCCCCAGCCTCCAGCCTCCCTGCAGGCCGAGGCTCAGACAGCATCCGTCCAAGATGAATTATGGCCCAAGAAGCAATTACCAGGGTACGGTGGGCCGGGCCACGTGGGCACAGGGCAGAGGTCTCACGTTGTGATTTCCTGTCTGTCTACGCAGTAAATCTCCACGCGGAAGAGATTGGTTTTTCCTCATGACTGATGGCCGTTGTCTTCAGTTCCCCCGGCGGGGCGGTGTAATATGCTCATCGCCCACAGCCCCCGGGTGAGGGGCAAGAGGGCCGAAACTCCAGGCCCCCCAGGCTGTGTGCTCCGGGGCCCTGTCTCTCCTGGCTTGGGGGAACAGGGGCTTTTCTGAGGCATCCACTCAGAGAACAGTCTTCCCTGGTTTTCACCAAGGCCCCGCTTGGCCTACAGCATCCCTGCCTGCATAGCATCGAAGCCCAGGAGGGAGGCTCAGATAAAGACCGGTCCAGTCCAGGTGCTCCCCACCCTCTCACTCCCTCCCCACCTCCCATCAGGACCCACAGCAGCCCCTCTCTGGTCACCTTGCCTCGGCCCTTCACCCCATCTCCCAGACCCGGATGCACTTCTCAAAATGAAGAGCCGATGTGTCCACCTCTTAAAACCCTCCCGTCAGCGGTTCTCCACAGCCTTCGGGTGAAGGTCAAACTTCCCATCACCCACAAGGCCCCCACCAGCTGACCCCACACGCTCACTCAGCAGCAAAACTCATGCCCTCACCTGGGGCTCCAGGCACAGTGTCCTGCCCCAGCGCTGCACACAGCCACACGGCGTTCCTGTCAGCCCCAGGGCCTTTACACATGCTCTGACTTCTGCCCACACCATCTTACCGCCTCCTTCCTCATCCCTCAGTCCCTGCTGCCACGGCCCGTTCTCCGAGAGGCCCATCTTCACCTCTGCAGTTTAAATCCGGACTTTCTGTGGTTCGCTTACACAGCACTTCTCATGATCTGAACTGATAACTTCTGCTGGTCGATGCCTTTCTGATTCGCCGTGGCAGCTCCAGCACACATTCAGCGCCTGCCACATGGAAGCCCCTCGGCAAATAGTTCTCAATGAATGAAGACCCACACAGGTCAGCAGTAGTCTCGGGATTTTAACTAACTCCTCAGCCCTAGGTGCTTTCCTCTGTCCCCACCTCCTCCCAAACGAGGGTTTGGCACCCTGGTGGCAGCAGCTTCCCCCAGGGATGAGCTTCCCAGCACACCGTGTCCTCAGGCCCAGCTCCCAGCAAATGAAAGGCCATGAATCAAGTTGAAGCCGCCATTACCCAAGGGAATGTGTGGCTGGACAGGCGGAGTTTGGTGGAGGCTGCAAGGAAGACAGCTCATCACAGCCACCAGCCCCAAAGGGCAGTCAGCCCAGGGACCTCCAGCGGCCTGGACCTGCCAGTTAGCCCCCAGGCGGGGGAAGGACCAGGGCCCCGAGGGCACCTGAGAAGAAAGGGGGTGATGAGTTGGACACTGAGAGACTGAACATAGCCCAGGGTAGCTTCCCAGGTGGCGCTAGTGGTAAAGAACCTGCCTGCCAATGCAGGAGACATAATGAGATGCGGGTTCGATCCCTGGGTCAGAAAGATGCCCTGGAGGAGGGCATGGCAACCCACATCAGTATTCTTGCCTGGGGAATTCCATGGACAGAGGAACCTGGGGGGCCACACTCCACAGAGTCGCAGGATCGGACACAACAGAAGTGACTTAGCACACACACACCTGAGCAAACATGGGCCAGAGCCCCCTTTCAGGGTGGTGGGCACGTGCAGACCCAGGTCCAGGCTGGTGTGTATCCAGCACCAGCACGTGCACGCAGGAGTGTGCACTCAGCGTCAGCGGGAGCACGCAGACAGGAGTGGGTTAGCACGTGTGCACATCCACATGGCTAACTCAAGCTTGTCCAGTGTTGAGGTGGGTGTGTCCACACAAGCCCAGGCGTGCGGCTGCAGGGAGGCTGGGAGCAGGTGTCCAGGGCAGAGCAGGCCGTGTAAGAGCTGCTCTGGGCTGTGTGTCAAGCCAGCCTGTGGGGGTCAAGGTCAGCATCCAAGGCCGGCAGCCATTCTATCTGTGGACAGAGGGATGGTCTGCTGAGTGCAGGGGATGGGCAGGGAAGGCTGTTTGCAGGAGTGGGAGGAGGGGGCTTTGCCTCACCCCATCCAGGCCTGTGCGTGCTCCCAGGACCCCTGCTTTCAAACCAGGTGGTCCTCCCCCCTCCCAGGTGCAGGCAGACTGTGTGGCATGAAGACAGCCCTCACAGTAACTCCCAGTAGGGACCCATTGGGATCACTCACCTGGCCTGCCTGGAAGTGCTTCCTTTGGTCTAACCCGCAGCCTTCTTGCTGCAGCCTCCATGGGACTGAATGACAGTTACTTCTCTCCCCCAGTCCAGCAGGCACCCAAAAGGACTTGAAGCCTGAGTGAGTGTTCCCATGAGCCTCCTCCTCCCTCCCCATCCCTCTCTGGCCTGAGCAGAGGGCAAGAATGGCCCTTACTTGAGCCGTCCGCATTCCATCATCACAGACCACTTGCACGATTATTTATTTAATATTTTTCCTTAAGCCAACTTTTTTTGCCTTTTAACTTAAATGCCTATTTTGGCTTCATCCTAAGCAATAACATCTGTGAAATCACGGCACTCGTGTGCCCGTTATACATTTTTTTTCCTAATACACATTTACATAAACACAACTATTAAAATAGTTAAAAATTTTGTCCATGTTTCAACAAAAAAATCATCTCCCGGACCTCTGTGATCCACTTGGCAACTTCAAAAGGATCCTAGAAGAGAATAAAGAGCTCCAAGCTACCCAGGGCCAGATTCCCAACAGACACGCCCCTGCCCCGTCTGAAGCTGGAGCTGCTGCAGTGGTTTCTTCTTGCCCAGCTCACCTCCTCATCCTGATCTTCAAAGCCGTTTTATTTGGGTCCCAGTCTCTCTCCCAGACCCAGCTCCCGCCCCATGCAGTAGGTCCACAATAGTTACTAGATGAATGAATCACTGACCTGATTAACAAATGCATGAATGAATGGATGAATAAGCACACACCTCCACCTGGGTGGCTCCCAGGCACCTGAGACTCAAGACATCTGAACCTGCCCCCACCTCCCCCCGGCCCCCAACCTGAGCACTCCTTCCTAAAGAGGCTTCAGTCCCTCTGGCTCCACTAACCTCTGCTGCCTGATTTCTCATCCGCTGCCCTTCTTTCTCTCCACATACCTGCCATCTAGACAATCCCAAAGTTCCTATGACGTTCCCAACTTTCTTTCCCTGTACACTCCTGCTTGCCTGGTGTCTAGACAACGTCACATCTCAGCTTAAATGTCATTTTCCCAAAGGAGCCTCCCACGACCCCCACTCCCTCCTACAAGCAGATGCTGCCTAAGGGCTTCTGCAGCACACCCCCGCCCCCCCACCAACTTCCCCTCGTTGAGAAAACAGCAAACACCAACACAGCATTTATGTGCCAGGCTCTGTTCTAAAGGCTTCATGTATATTAGCTACTTTAACCCTCAGAAGAGCTTTAAGAAGTATGTGTAGTGATGATCCCCACGTGCCCACAGGGGCGAGGCACTGAGAGGTCAGGTAACTTGCCCCCAATCTCAAGTGGAGGAACTGGAATCGGCTGTTCCGTCCTGGAGCATTTCACACACTGTTCTATCATCACCTGTCTAGTTATGTGTCCTGCCCACCTGTGAGCTCTCCGAGGACAAACACCATCTCTGGATTAGCATCCTATCTCAAGTGCCTGCCACAGTGTTTGGCACGTAGTAGGAGCACAAGGAATTGTATCATTGAGTAGATGGATACACAGATGGATGGCTGAATAATGAGGATGGGTGATACGTGAAAGGATGGATGGATGGATGTCTGGTAAAAGAAAGAAT